CTCTAAGAAGCTTTGTAAATAGATTTAATGGAAAAGAAGGATTGGCAGTTACTCAGACAAATCTGCAGGCAAAACATTGGAAATATCAGAAATGGAAAATTCTATGGGAATAAGATACTTAACCAGAGTAACATCCCAGCCCTCAAAACTGAGACACAAGTGGTGAAGGTCAGTACAAAGCAAAAAGAGAAAGGTGTGAATAGCTTATAGGGAATAGAGACTGCAAACAACTTGGTCTTATATCTTCATTTTTTTTTAGCATGCTTGGCTATTAAAGCCTCACAATGAGTTCTTACTGTATGTTTTCTGCTGGCTAGCAGAATCAACCCAGTGGCAATTGTGAATCTGCTGTGATTCATGGGATTATAGATACTCATATCTTCTAACACTTTGTATTTCACTGCAGTGAAGGACAGAAAAACCTGTTATCAATGGAAGAACATTAAAAAGAAGAATGCAACCAAAACATGCTGCATATGGAAATTTATATTATACTATTAAAAAATTAAAAAGCAGAAATGTGCAATATATACTACTGAGTGATGCTTATCACAGAATAATTTTTCAGAAGTATAAATGAGACCACAGATAACTACAGTGTTGTTTGCTGTTACTACAAACATACACCAGTCATTTGCACTGGAGCTGAAGGAAAACTATTAGATCATGGTTCACACCCTACAGATGGAACAAACCATCTTTTGCTCATGAACTTCACAGATATTAAAAAGATGATATCATCTGAGATCCATCCCCAAAAGCTACCAATTACACAAAACACACCCTGAACTCACTTTGGAGTATCTGTCAAAAAAAATGGGAAAAAATAGGCATTTCACTGGAAATGCTGCATGGAAAGACACTGCTGTGTTTCCATCTGTTTATAGTAGGTCTAGCAAAGAACTTTTCTGCATAGAATAATTGCACACATCAAAATAATCCTGAAATACCACTTTGTTTTGATTCTCCATTTAGAATAAACTATATATAAAGTCAGGCCTTTGTATGCTCTGTTAACAATTTCTCAAAATTATTATAAATTAGAATATTCACCCATCAACCTATTCAGCTTGGAAAAAGATGAAATAAAGAATTCCCTCTCTAGGGAAAGCAGCTAACTCTGCTTGGCACTTGTAAATACAAAAGAAATTTTAAAAGTTTCAAAGTTCACATTTAAGGAGAATGTTTTTGCAGACTGATTACTTTGAAATTTCTCTATGATCTGACCACGCCAATTTCTCACTGATATATCAAACATGACAGCTACAAACCCTTCAAGAAAAGTTAAAGTTTCTCTGAATTTTTTCATTTTGGGTTAAAAGCACAAGATGATGTATCAAAAAGGCTAGGCTGATCTCAGAAGATCCCAAGATTGCTGTCTCCCAAAATTCACAGATTCATAGAATGGCTTGGGTTGGAAGGGACCTAAAGCTCATCCAGTTCCAACCCCGCCGCCATGGGCAAGGACACCTTCCCCCAGACCAGGCTGCTCACAGCTCCTCCAGCCTGGACTTGAACACTGCCAGGATTAGGGCATCCACAGCTTCTCTGGGTGACCATCCCTGTGCCTCACCATCTTCACAGCAAAGAGTTTCTTTCTCCTATCTGACCTAAAGCCACACTCTTTCAGTCTGAATCCATTCCCCCTTGTTCTATCACCATATGCCCTTGTAAGAAGACTCTCTCCAGCAATCCTGTACCTTCAGGTACTAGGACGTAGTGGTAGTATCATCTCTGTCTAAAATAGTTTCTATTATATCCAAAAACTACTTCCCCCTCCCCACACCAGGATTCCATAATGGAAAAAAAAAAAGAAGGGAAACTCTATTACTTGCCTCTCCCATCACTCCCTGTCATGCAAGTAAGTGGCCAGACAAGCCCTTTTCTTTATTTAGCAAGTTACAATTGGTAGTACAAATTTAATCTGCAAAATTGCAGTAGTCCCCAGCCATACAATTAAAAATCTCATAAATTTTCTCAAGCCAGAGGTGGCCTTTTGTACTTCAATACTGATTACTATTTTAGAACTTCAACTAGCTGAAGACACAGGGAAAAGAAAAGGCATTAGGAAAGAAAAATATATTTGTGAACTCTAGGAAGGGTCAAAACCTTCCCATAAGTGGTAGAACAAGTATGACCAGAACATAGAAAAATAATGACTGGCTAAAGCTTACATTTTGAAGTAGGAAAGGTTACTGCTTTTCACAGATATTCTGGCACTAAGGTGACATCAGAATGAAACAAATACAACAATGACAAACACTAAGACCTTCACTGATCAGTGCAGCTACAGATCCAGATAGCATCAAACCCAGCTGACAGCTTTTCAGTCAGAGCTGGATGACTATCTCTAGCTCTACATCCTTCCTACATAAGATGAAAAGGAATTGAGGGGAAGCAGAGGAAATTATGTGATTTGCCCTGATCAGGAAACTCATGGCCTGGGTCAGAAGTTATCTGGGGCCTCAGCTGTCACTGCTGTCCCACAATACACAAAATTAAGTCTCTGTTCTCCTAAGCATGTCCTTGCCATCATCCTGGCTCTTTGAGGATGGGTCTCTTGTTCCTCATACACTGGATTTCCAGTGGTGCCTTTGGCCAGAGACAGGGCCTTATTGATAGCACACTTAATCTGCTACTGGCTCCAAGAAATTTGTTCCTTAGTTTTTGGGGTTTTTTTAAATTTCTTTACTGCAGGATGACATAATTTGAGCCAGGAATGGAAATCCATCTATTTGTATACAAAGCCTGAGCATGAAGAAGCAATTACAAAGCCTTTTGGAATGGGTTTGGGGACTCACTATGTTTCAGACATGAGAAGTGTCTTGTTCAGTCCTTGCAGGCTGCAACAGCTGGTGCACTTGAAGAGAGAGGCTTAGGTACATCAGTGGCCTTAACTTCCCACAATTACAGCATCACCTGGCTGGCAATCACCACTGGAGAGGGCCCAGGACACTTGCTGTCCCAAAGCAGGGTCAGTTAAAGCTGCTCCTGCATAGAAAAACACTCCAAAGGTGCACTGCCAATCAATTCCAGTGCCTGACCACTTAATAAAAACATTCCTTCTGTTTTTGTGGAACTGCCTGCATTTCAATGTGTCCCCACAGACTCTTTTTCTCTGCCACTGGGCCCCACTGAGAACAGTGCTCACCTTTTTCACCTTCTTCACTCCCCATGAGGTAAAGATATGGATAGGATGCCCCTGAGTCAGTAACACCGCTGCTCCTTGCTCCCCAGAGCTGAAATGATTGTAGACTCAGCAGCTGAGGCCAGCTTCGAGATATCTGGCTTCCAAGACAGACCCATAACTTCAGTCACCATCAGTGTCTCCTTTCCAGTGTTGCTAGCTTGTCTCAGAATGAAGAGTAGGATATGCTCTGCAAACTTCACAAGTAAACCAGTGTTGAAATAAGACAGTTTGTATTATTGACACAGCACACACTATAGAATTACTTGATACAAGAACGGAAGACACCCATAATTTCATTGCCTTGTCAGACGTAAAAATTTATTTATGCTATTTGTCAAGTGTTTAAATTTACACAAAAGACAAACATTTTAACTTCAGGTCCAATTGTTCATCAGTAAGCCCTACATCAGAATACCCCTGACGCTTCCAAGGACAACTTTTACAAGACGCTTAGAACAGCAGAATATCATAAATAATGGCCAACTTCACAAGCCTGAGGATCACCACCTCATCACTATTTCTCTGCCAAGCATGAGAATAGAGGAAGCCTTAAAGCCATTTTAATCCCCAAACACTATCACTACTGCACTCAGAGCATTTACATCACTGCCCTGCATTAATAACACCAAACATTACAGTTAGTCGTAAAGATTTATCACAGCTTCCCCTAACAAAATTACTTTTCTTTTAAACATAGCAAGAGAACTGTGCATCAAAACAACTGCAAAATACACAATCATCCATTTGGCTTGGTTTTACAAAAACTTCAACTCTTGTGTCATACTCCTTACCCCCTCCTTTCTCACTTAGACCAGGCAGTTTAATTGTAGCACTGAGGTAGCATATTTTAATTGAACAGAGTAATATGTTTGATATTGTGCCTCTTCTCCTTTAAAGCACAAAAAAAACATCCCCACAGTTTTTCAACATCTTTGGAGAAGACAAGCATATAGTTTATTTACAACAGCCACTCTATTTTGAATTCAAAGCACAAAGTATCTATGAATGGTAAATACATTATACCAGCTTGAATGAATGCGAACATATACAAGAAGAAGGAAATATGTCAGTTTTATTAGAACTAGGGTTACATTTTAGCCCTATGGCACCTATTGTTCCCTATTATGAAATGCATCTTTACTGTCCCTGAAATTTAATTTCAAAGACAAAGATCCTGAAAAAGGACAGCTGTGCCGCTGTTCTAAATGATTTTCACACTATTGGCAGAGACAATTAATTGCAACAAAACCAGATTAAATCAATGGACCTAATATAAAGTCAACAGGAATTAACAACATGAGTATACTAAGAGAATCAAAGTTAAGGCAGAAGGTACGATTTAATGAACTGAGAGCACTTTCCATTCACTCACAAGTTAAAGCTGAGATAGCCTTAAAATAATTAAAGAAAAATCAACACTAAAAAACAAACAAAGAGAACAACCCAAAAACCAACCAACCAACCAACAAAACAACAAAAAAAAATTTAAAAAATCAAAACAAAACAAAAAACCCACCACTGCAAGAGTAGAAGCTTCCTTTCCCAACAAATTGAGAGTAACAGCATCTTAGCTTTGCCATTCTGGCTAAAAGCTTTAAAAGACTAAGCTGAAGTCAAGTTGCACTCAAGACTGCAGCCTTAACTTCTAGACTGTTTATCAAAGTAGCTCTTACAGACACACCTGTGTACTTAGAGAGAATAAACAGTGATTCTAAAGAACAGGAGTAATTTCCTGCTCTGCGTGCCACACTTGTACACAAAGCCTTGTAAAGCTCTGCTGAATAGTACACAATCCTCACCCAGCCCCAGGCTGGATCTTTGAATTCCTTCCTCCATCTTTCACACAGGAAAGCAAAAATTTTTACTGCAGTTAAAAATCCCTTGAGTCAGCCTCATGCATAGGGGAGATTGGGCTTTAACAAGTTAGAAAGCAGACTGAGAATGTAACTGACCTGACAGAAAAACTCCCATGGAAACACCCAAACAGCTGAGGGAAAAATGCTTAAGGTATAATGGCCAATTCAAGCTGTTTATGAAGGCATTGATGCTAATCTTTCAAGTAACCCAAAATGCACTCCAACACCTGTTACTAAAAACTTAAGGCTTTTATGAATACCCTCTTACATACAAAAGGAATATTAAACAGAAGGAACTTGTTTACAGTAAATACAAACATCTGAAAAATCTCTGAAACCTGTTTATACAAATACTAATAAATTCTTTAATATTTTGTACAACTAGAAGGTGCACAGATTGGCATTCAAGCAGTCAATGCTGGCAAACATCTCTCAGACAATAACATGATTTACTTGGGTAACAATATAGTTTAAAATGCCATAAATTAAAAAATAAGTTAGTTCACATTTTTCCCCCAGATTTTATGTACATCTTAGTCTTTAATGAGATCGTGCAGCCTTCTTCAGAAGCTCGAGGTCTTTCTGACGGCTTTTAGTTGCTCTGGCACAGCCATACTCTTCCAGTTGCAGAGGGATATACTTTTCTATCTGAACGAGCCCATGCCCAGCAGGACTGGTAAACAGCTTAATCCAGGATGGCTTAATGTTTCCTCTGAAGCCCAGAAAGGCCAAGCTTCCTGTGACAGAAAAAGCTCAGCATTACCAAACCAGCCAAGCTCACTGCAGCACCATACAGGACTGGTTAGGTAGGCCAAGGCAAAATTCTTTTCCCCACATTATTCAGGACATTTATCCACTCTCAGTTTTACATGCACCTTACAAAGAAATAATTATTTGCCTTTTCCTGTCTCAATATTTAGTATTAAATACCCTGAAATCTTAATTTGAAAACACAGCTAATTGGACAGTTATAAAACCTGCTTTCTCAACCACAACTTGTGGCATCACTCTGAACAGATGAAAGCTACTGCCATGTGGCCTATAAACTCATCATGCCTCAAAATACCAATAGCTTCTCATTTCTAGCTTCAAGTTATTTTAGAACAGGAAATACTAGGCAGGCACAGGAGATTGCTTAAAGATACAATTGCTGGGTGAGGCACAAAATACAGGCTTTAGGAAAAAAGCCTGGGACTCTTGTGCGATCCACAGGCACAAAGAACTGCTAGTTACTTCTCTGTTTGCAACAAGCTTCACAAAATGGGATAAAGGGGTTTTCTGCCCCATCTGCTAAAGGGCTGCTCAACAAGAGCTGACACACAGCAGCCACACACACACCTTCTCACACACCCCATAAGAAACCCACCACACCAACATGAACACAAAGACCAAGGTGGTGTCAAACAAATGCACAACATTTCCACCAACCATTGCTCTGAAGATAAGGTGGTTTCGCTGTCCCCAGGGACATTAAGGCTTCACCTAAATTATTAGGAATTGCTACATCACCTCTTGTGCTCAGCAGAACGATAGACCTGCAACAGGAACAGCATGACACAGCAGCTATTATAAACACATTTCTTTAATATTCTGGCTACACACCTTTCCAGCTAACTGCCCTCAGTGTCCAATTCCTTATGAATGCTTATGACATGGAAACAGTCAGCCCTTTCTGAAAGTAGTACTTAGAATTTCTTGGTTTTAAACTGACTTTAACTTCAAAATCATTGGAAAGTGTTATTTAGATACAGTTTAGTATTTTGTATCAAAAAAGTCAAGTTTGGATATTGATCCAAATTTAGAAAATTAAAATACTGTTTATTTTTTGACACTAACTCTCTATCTTTATTTAGTAATAAATAATTTTCTCCCTACAGGGAGAAAACAGTATGACATTTTTCACATAGTCCTTGCCACTGTCCTTATTAAACAAAAAGTTATTCTTGCTTTAAGCAAAGCAGTGTTATTACATGATATTTTGTAAAAGAAAACTATTTTTGAGAAAAACAGCAACATCAGAAAAATTTTAAGTGCTCAAAATCTGCTTAGTTTTCTTAAATAAGGATACACTGTCCAATAAATTGCTCCTCTGTTTCTCCTTTTGCCTGAATTTAGACATATGTTTTGCTCACTTTCAGCACTCAGGTATCATTATGTATTTGTCATTATTTAAATCCTTGTCAGAGAGCAGAGCTACAGCTTGCAGGACATACTGGAAATGACTGGTCATTGGACATACCTTTGTGGAATTCCAGATTTTAAATATCCATCTACATGCCTAATGTCTACTCCAGAAAATAATTTGTTTCCCAACACTGTGCCAGTGCAGGCATCTACTACAACAATAAGTATTCCATTACCCTTGAAGGAAAACATGGTGTCATTGACCTCAATGGGAAGAAAAAGAGAGAAAAAGAAGTTAATATGAATCAAACAGCAATTCTACTGCACTCAGTGGTAATCAATCTTACTCTAGTTTAGACACAGTAATTTCCTTACAAATACTTGCTTCTCCCTAGCAACTCTTCAGCTTTTCCTTTGAAAGAACACCGCTTAATGGGATTTCTGAAATTGCACGGGAGTCTTAAGCCTGTAGCTTCTACAGGAATATTGCACATTCCAGGTGACTTAGTACTTGCCTCAGTCATCGCTCCAGCTTTGGGAAGCTAAAATTCAGGCACTGAATCCCCTGGACTTCTTTACAGTAATACAGTTAATTAATCCCTGCAGCAGGTTAGTTCCAGCCCAGTTTCTTCCTGCTGCTTTGGATATGGCACACACATTCCTGGAGAAGTTTGCAGCTGCAAAGGTTAAGCTGCTCAAGTTCCATTTGTCTACCTGAATAACTGAAAGTTCAGCCAGGCCAACAATGACACTGCAGAATGTAAGGAAGTACCATTAAGTGGTACGTCACCTTCATGTGCAACTCTACTTCAGCATCTGAATGGAAAAGTCAAACTAAACTGCTTGTTATACAGTATCACATCACTGGGCTCATTTGGGTCACACCAGAACAAATACAGAAATCTACTGATCCTTTAGCAATTGCCTTTAGCAATTGCTTAGAGGACTTCAGCAAAGCTTAATGGCTTATGTGACCACTCCCACTAATTTACTAATCTGCTTGCACAAGGACAATTTCAACAAAATGGATTTAACTAACAATTTTTTTGTTTAAGTCTTCTGTTTATTTCTAAAACTAGCCATAAATGTATGTCCACACAGGTTTAAACCTAAACTGAACATTTTAAACTCTAATGGGAACATTTCTCTCTTCAGCAAATAGGACTCAAATATGAAAAGGGGCTGTGAAGCCTCACTTTCCAATGTTTAAACATAAGCTTTTTGACTTTATTTTTTAAACAAAAACCAATCTTTTCATTCAAGTGAAGAAAACTGAGATGTGCATTATGAAGAGCTGTACCACTGCTACAATACATACTGCTATAGTGATGTTTAAGAAGAAAGCCGTAAAGAATACTTACATATATAAATGCTTGCTGGCCTCTGCTTGACTCTTTTTCATCAGATGAATTAATCTGCACAAGGAGGTAGTTTCTGTGAGGATCACTGGTGAACACCATCTGGATATCAAACAAAACAGTTAAGTACACATATTAATGTTTCTTCAACACTTTCTCATGCCAGTTTACAACAGACAGCCGATGCTCCAAAGCAAATATATCCATTTGTCAATGGCATTATTTATGGTACTACTAATACTAATAAATATAATGATACATAGTGGAACCTATTTTATCTCTTAATTTCAATATTTTACTCAGCTTGTATAGGTGAGACAATTTCAAGTTCATGTTAATTAGCAAAGATCCAAACAGAGAGAAGGTCTGCCATGTAGATCTCTGCAGCAAAGCTCTCCATGTATCACAGGCAATACTGCAGTGCAAGACATCAATCCACCTATGTCCCTTTTCTGTAGTACTTGGAGCAAGAGTTGCACAAAAGAAGAAAAAAAAAGCCTTGTAACCATGCTACAGAAAGGACTCCAAACCTTCAAGGAGTCCAAGAAGATTAACAAGCTGACCACTGCAATTTGATAAGTACAGTATTCTGTGCTGAAAGACTGAAATTTGAACTTAAATTGAGTAGACAGCATCACCAATCCTACAGTTCATGAAAGTTTTAGCTTATTTTATTTTACCTGAGTTGTGCCACATTTTGAACATGGTACAGTAGTTTTTTCTGGCATCTGCTTTATGACGGTTGGTACTTGGTAGTACTTTGGGTAAGCTTTTGCCATGCAATTACTTATCCCTTTTGATGAATCTTTGGTCACAATCTTGATCCTTTCACATCCCTGAGATGAGCAATAACTGTGACCATCCCTATTATATTTGGCTTGAAGAAATAAAAACAGTAATCTATACAAAAAGGGGAAAAATAATCTAAATTAACTGATGAAATATAGGTACTTATATTCAATCTTAGCAGCTATATTTCATGATTTTCAGAAGCAGACGAACTACAGTATTCACTTCTGCACCACTATTCAAAGGTTTGAAAGTACTTACAGTTCACCATAGTGTAGGAAATACCTAGCAACTTATCTAAAATTCCCCACAAAAGAGACATCAATATAAATGTAGATGCTTTGCAAAGAAATAACAATCCTTCCTCATATCAGTGGCTTACAGGAAACAAAAACCATATTGCAGAGCATGAGTTTTTTCCTTCCTCATAGATCTTTGCAGATATGCAGCAGAAATATTCAGTTTCACCCATCAACACTGAACAATATGGTTGTGCTACTCCAAATGCCTGGAAAGGCATTTTAGGGTGAAAAGCTCTTACACAAAGCAACATAAAATGTCTGCTCAAAATTCATTTGTGAATTTTCACAATTCATGTGTGTATTTATTGTAGACAAGCACAGTAGCAGGTAACAGAACAAAATAAATAAGAGAACAAATTATAAATTCAGACTCAATGTTTGCAAAACTCGCAACTAATGTACACAGGACTTAATTTACTGGAAGCTGATAATGTCTAAAACGTCTCAGAAGAATCATAGTGGCATCTGTGAGAAGTACTTTTGAAAGAGAGACTATGACTTTTAAGTTCTTTTGAGACAGCTGAAAACATATTAGAATTTTCAAAAATATATTTTTTAAATGTTGGAAGAGGAAGTTTCTTGGAAATTTATAGAATATTCCACTTAACAAGAAAACAGATAATTTCTCTGAAGACTAAGAAATTAAATCCTAAAAGGCACTGCTGTGCAGCATACCAGAAATACTGAAAATATAATAATATTTTCCCCAGACATGGAGTAGGAAATATCTTTGGCCACTGTGGTGCTCGTGGAAAGTATTTCAATGACAACCATGGTAGTTTGGAGATTTAAAGACATATGAACATTCTTCCAAAGAGTTTTGGAGTCCTTCTCAACAGCTTTCCTCTTAGGCAGGTGCCTCAACCAGTTGCTTTTGACACTTTCAAACTGGACATTTCAAAGTTAAACAACATCTTCTAGCAGAGTCAAATGACAAGAGTTACCCAGTACTGTTGTCAAAGTAAAACCTCTTGTCTGATCGATTCTTTTCAAGCTCCATCATTGAAGATACAGGCGTGTAGCGCTCCACCTTGTTTGACAGAGCAGATGATCGCCTTTGAAAGGTTTCCAACACTATAAGAAAATCTGTCTTTGGTTGGTAACAAAGACCAACACGTATCCAGTCATTCCTAAAACCAATATAAAATGTATGAGTCCTCACAGGAACAGTTTAGGTGTCAATACAGAGCAAAGAGATCATTCCAAAAAAAAAGAAACAGGAACACAAAAAACTCTTAAACCCTCAACCAGATGACCAAATTTGCACAGCCTTTCATTAAACATTTTAGTAACTGATTGTCTCAGGATATATTTGATTATATACTTCAGAGATGTTTAATAAGTTCATCTGCCAACAAAATCAAGTATGATAAGCTATTCAAGTGCAATTCTGCTCGACTTCACTATTGGTACATCATCCTCTCCAAAGGCTTTTCCTTAAAGACACTGTACTGGACAAGTGTTTAACTTCAGATGCAGATCTGTAGTTTAATCCCATACTTTTGTATTTGTAACTATGAAAAAAAATAAAAAAGAAACCAAACCCAACCTCTGGTCTTCCAGATGACTGCAAACTCATGCAAAATAATTTTGCAGGACATAACTTCAGTATTGCCTTATGGATCAAAGCCACAAAAGAAAATAAACATACTTGTTGAAATTAATGAGATACAGATAGGTGACATTTGGAGCTTTTCCATTCCAATGTATTGTATAGCCCTTTTGGAGCATCACCACCGGCTGGTACTGCTGAAAGGCAGCTGCTCTCTGATTAATACCTCGAAGAACCATGGGATTGGCTGGATACTCATCTCGGACAATAGTCATGGATAGATTCTGTCCATTCCAGGTTTGGACAAAAACCTATATGACATTTAAGAGGGTGAAAATAGGAATATTTGATCTCTTTTGCAAAACAAAACGAAATTGTGAAGCACGAACAGGACATTATTAACTAAAATTCTGCAATTTGATGTTCTGACATATAATGCACAAATCCGTCCTTAATAAAAGTCTTATTTAAAAAAACTATTATAGATTTTTCCCACCTTACAGACAAAAAAGGGCATGAATGAGAAAAAAAAATCAGCTATAACATCTGGCCACACAGAGCAGGAACCAGAATGGGAACCTGTAAGACTCATATTCAGAAGGTGTTATTTAACATCTCTAGAAAACAAAACAACAAAACAACCCCTTAAAATCTACTCTGGGAAAAAAAGCAGACAGCATTTGTGTGGAAGAAGACATCTTCAACAAAGATGTTTTAGCAGATACAGCTGCAACACAGAATTCTTGGCAAACATATTTAGTTTTATCTTGCAGCTTCTGATACTGTACCCTCAGTCTGCTGAGAGGAAGCATGATGTATACACAACTGGCTCAAAAGTGTGATATGTATAGAAGTATCTTTAAAAGTCAAAAAATCCAAAGATTTTTGAAATCCAAAGACAGGTAATTTTTTTATTTGTTACACTACCTGACTCCACAAGTAGTTCATACTATACATTTGCCCCAAACAGAAAGCCAAAAGTACTAGCCTGTGCATAGCTCCCACTGCAAACCACTCCACTCCATTCTGTCATGTTAACGCATTTGGGGTGTTGAATCAAGTAATTATCCATTCGGCCCACATAGGTATCCCTGTAGTCAGTCACTGAGCCATCTAGATCATGAAATATTGAGTTCTTGTCACCATCCAGATCTCCTTCTTCAAACCAGGGACCAGGCTTCCCAAAGAAGGCTTTCAAAGAAACCTGACAACAACCAGAAGTTTTTGTTTTTCCAGATGCTGAAACACAGACTTATATTTGCACATGTGCAGAAACATGGGAATTTGACAAAGCTGATTAAAAACTTTACAGCAAGGATAGCAGAATCTCGCAAAGCAGACGTGCTTGGTTTTACTAATAGGCTCAAGCCAGCTCTTGCTTCTGAACAGTGTTAATATTTGCTGCAGAAAATAAACTACTAAGGATGTATACCAAACCTTAAAAATCTTATAAAAAATTCTTTTCAACTTTACCACAAGCCATGAATCATTTAGTGCAACGTATCCTACATCTCTTTTGGTATTGGATTTTTTGGTCAGGAGACAAAGGAGATGTGACCTCCAGCCAGGAAATAAACTCTGAAGTAGGTAATGCGTAGAAAGGATGACATACAACTCTTGTTTGTGTATGTTAAATACAAGAAAAGAAAACCATTTGCAAGACTTCAGGTAAACTTGTAGTAAACTTACATTTGGACCAAACTTCACAAGAGAAATGTTATTTTTTGGAGTCATCTGCCATGGATTTTTCATCAGGAATCCAACTGCACTGGTAAATCTGTCTGGAGTTGGCACGAAGTTTTTAAATGTGCACTTAGTAAGGTGAATAGGTCCATCATAAATCTGAAAGCCTCTGATTGGAAATGTCCTGTTGATGCAAGCAAATATTTATACCATCCTGTAACAAAATTCATGGTACACTTGAATCTGTGTCAAATACATCTCTTCTCAGAAATCAATAAAGTAACAATTACAGAACAACTCGCAAGATAGAATTTAGCAAAGGAAGTATGGTTTCTGCATTTCTCTAATGAGTCAAAAAATCCCCTACTCCTAAATTTTCCCGTTAGCGGAGCTATCACTCTCCATGTGCAAATGTACCCCTTTTTCAACATGAGAAATATAGCAGAAAAATAATACCTCCTGCTCTTTGATTGATCATGATAACTGGAAGTGACTGCAGACTGGAAGAAAGCAAATGTCATTTCTAACTTGAGAAAGGAGCACACAGAGAATGGTAGGCTGGTAAGGCTTAACTTGACCCCAGGAAGATGGTGGAGCAGCTAATCCTAGAAACCACTTCCACATGCCTGGAGGACTGGAAAGTCATCAGGAATAATCAGCATGAATTCACCAAGGAGAAGCTGATAAACTTTTGTGATGAAATGACTGGCCTGGTAGAGCAGTGGGAGAGCAGAGGAGAGGGTCTACCAAAAGTGCAGTAATACTTTTGACACTGTGTCCCATACGATCCTCATGAGTATGGGCAGAATGAGAGGACAAATGTCTGGGCCCAGGAAGTGATGGCATAAAGTCTGCCTGGTGACCAATAATGGGTGATGTACCCCAGGGGTCAATATTGAGTCCAGTCTTGCTCATTATTTTCATTAGTCATCTGGATGATTAGGCCAAGTACAGTCTATGGGCCAAGCTTGCAGAGGGCACAACACAGAGGGAAGCAGCTGATGCAGCAGAGCGTTGTGCTACCACCCAGACAGACCGTGATAGGCTGGACAAATGGGTGGATGGGAACCTCATGAAGTTTAACATGGGAAAATGCAAGGTCTTGCACATTGAGAGCAACAACTCCTTGTGCCAGTGAAAAGGACCTATGGGTCCTAGAGGAAGCAAAACTAACCATAAGCCAAACAATATGCCCTTGCCACCAAGAGGCAAAAAGTATCCAGGGCTGCACTGTGAGAAGTGTTATCAGCACACTGAGGGAAGTGATGCTTCCCATTTTTTCAGGACTGGTGAAACAACAATGTGGAGTGCTTGTCCCCAGTACAAGGCAGATATGGAGATACTGAAAAGTGCAGCAAAGGGCACAAAGATGATTAAGTCCATGGAGCATCTCTCATGGGAAGAAACACTAGGAGACATGCTCAGCCTGGAGCAGAAAAGCCTCAGGCAGTAATCTCAATCTTCTGAAGGGAGGGTGCAAAGAAGATGGAGCCAGGGTATTCCCAGTGACAAGACCAGAAGCAATGTGCACAAGATGAAAAATAAGATGTCCCTACTAAACAACAAGAGAAACCTTTCACTGAGTGACTGATCACTGGCACAGATTGCCCAGGAAATTTATGAAGAATCCACCCTTGGAAATATAGTAAAGACACCTGAACATTGTCCTGGAACCTGAGCCCTAGGTGACAGTTCTTGAGCATGGGAGTTGGACAAGAGGACCTCCAGAGGCCCCATCCAGCCTCAGTTGTTAGGTGATTCCACTGAACAAGACTGAATACCTCATATCACCACCACATTAACTTCCCCTCTTTAAATGGCTGAACAGCAAAAAACTATGGTGGCTGAGGGCCATGTCACCCTTTGTCCTACTTGGCCAAGGATATGTGGGGACAGAAACTGGAGCCATGTGGGCACAGCCAATACATTGCTACTTGATACCTTCTGACATCACAGCTGTGAAGTGGGGGAAAGGGACTGTCTCTCATTTTCTGAAGGGAGAGCATTCCTTTTTCTGGGGAAGCAGTGGGGTAACACCAGTCCTGGCCAGAGGATTTGTCCACCAGGAGAACATTTGGGGTGCTGATGGTCTCTTGGCCATCTTGTTCTTCATCTTGAGGGCTACCCAGTGCCAGGTTGAGTGGTGAGCATTTTTGCTTTTTTTTTCACATAAATCACCTTTGTTTTGTATACTTTTGTTATTAATATTGTTGCTATTATTGTTAATATTAATTAATCTCATTGTTTCCAGTACACTGTTCTTGCATCAGCTTGAGATCTCTGTCTTTTGTCTTTCTCACCTGAGAAGCTGGGCAAAGGGAAGTGGCTACATGGGGCTCAATTTCCAGCTGGGCTTAAACCAAAACAATCTTCTTTCTAATTCTGTGGCAAGGGTAGGACTTGGTATTATGTTAAACAAGCACCAGTGCAAGTCAAAGAGAAAAGAGAAGGATCATGGTCACAGACAGTGATTTGTCACAGACAAACTGCAGTCTCTAGTCCCAAGCTGACCTTTGAAATCCTCTTACCTGAAAGCTCTCTTCTAGACTCAAATACTATTTAAGTCTAAGGTTCAATTTAAGTAGGATAACTTAAATTTCTACAGAATAGTAACCTGTGAAAGCATCAGATGAACCTGCTTCAGTAAAAGGGTGAAAGTGACTATCCTGCACACATAGCATTAAAAAGAAAGAGAGCATCACTTTCAATGGAGTCTTAATCTCTGACAGCTCAACCAAGAAGGGTCTTTACATCTGATACAGCAATTTTTTCTTGTATTTCTACTTCCTTCATTCTTGACATACTTACCGATTTCTAGGCAGCGTGCGTGTCTTGTTGTCTATTCCTCCAGTTCCCACATATTTATTTTGTCCACCTTGAAACCCATAATTCTTGCTCTCACCTATGAACAGCGACTCTGATACCTCCTGGCTGGCACCTTCATCATTTGGGAAGCTCCCATCACTATCAAAGCACATCAAAGACAAATTTTTAGCCAAGACTCTCCAGCTTGGTATAATATATACCAAGCCATAACACCACTGTTTACTTCTGTAACAGCCCTCCTCAAGCAAAGCAGTATAGACTTCATGGACAATACACAAAACAAGAGATTTAATCATTAACATTAATAGAGGCTAACTCACTGAAATGTTCAGCAGATCCAAACATTAAAATTTCTAACTCCCTTTGTAGCAGAGCATCTTTTTATTTACAGCTCACTTTTCCAGTCCTAGAACTAGTTTTTCATAATCTCAACAACAGTAATTTCAGTTCACTACCTAAGTTTCTTGATATTCTTCATTAGAAAGATACTCAACCCCTGTAAATGCTCACTCTCCTTTCTTTTCCATTACACACTTTCAGCTGTTCAGGAGGAAAAAAATGCCACCTAAGGAATCATACACTACCAAGAATATCTCGATAAATATAGCTTTCTGGTAAAGGGGCAACAAGCGGTGGTGTAAACCAAGCACAGGCTGAACTAAAGCAGAAACTTTGGCAGCTGTGCCAGTTTACAGCCTCTATAACATCATCTGTATGACTGGAAATATAACCAGGCCCCAAACAAAAACTGCAGCCTTATGAAAGCATACCTAATAATTTTAATACATATATGTAGATTTTCTAAGCTTCTATGCAAGGGAATACAGAAATTATCAAAAAAGTACTCACCTCGCAAATGTCAAACCTATTCCATTGTCTGCAAACCTACAAGAAAGTCCAAAACATCAGTTGTTTCTTCTGAATTATCCTACAATTGGTTAATATAAGAGCACATCCTGCTATGCAATGAAAAAAGCTTCAATTTTTCTATTAATGAAACGTATAACCACTGCACAGTTAACTTTTCTAAAAGCATTCTTGTTAAAAAGTAGTAAAATAATTTTCTACACATTTTAAACAGGATTTGAGAGCTTCAGGAAGACAACAGAAATCCCAGTCTGAATTTTCTGTCTCTACCAACTCTCAGGCTTCTTTTTACTACAGCTGTTTATTATGCTGTTTAAGGCAGGTTCTCATCTAATCACATATAAACTTGCATATTTGAAGTAGTGGGATGGTATGAGATCTGGTCATGCTGAGAAGTACCTAAAGTTAATCATCAATCCTCTCCTATAACCTTGTTGTAATGTACTTTCATAGACAAAGTCTCAGAGAAAACAGCATGCAGCTATTTGCTTCCAAATACCTACCCAGAGTTCTGAATGAGGATATCCCCTCCCCTGACCCAGGCTCCATGATCATTGTTTTTGAAAGATATTAATCTGTCAATCAGGGCAGCAACTCGGGGCTTTTCAGGGTCTGCGTCTTGATGAGGTCGGAACCTGGAAGAGATAAACACTTAGTACAAATAAACTTTTTATCTCACATGTGCCATATATGCTGTGCTGAGTGAACCTGAAAAACAAACAATCATCTGATGGGCAAATTTCACTCTGCTTAATGTTTGGAATGAAAGAAGCTAAAAGCAGGTACATCTCTGGTCTTCACTAGTACTAGAAAAGCATCTGGGGTACCACAAAGCAGGAAAGTGAAACATCTCTTTTCCAGTAATTCTAACAGGCTTAGTCTCTCTAAGTTTCTTTAGCTGTCTTTAGCCTTCCTTTATCCCCCTTTTCTTTCTGCCCTCCCTACTTGTAGTGAAGCATTAATGTGAAAGTTTGATGAAGGGAATAATAAACTCCTTGGAAGGACACACAGGGCTGACACTGGTTATGCAAAAACAGCCTGGACATTTGATCCTTCAAATATTTCAAGCTTTTCTGACATGCAGCAGTGCTGCTTCTTTGGGCATGCCCGAGTTTTTTTTTCATTGTGTTGCTACCAAGATGGTCTTGTACAGTAAATTATGACTGGAATCTACTTTAAATAGTAGGAAGAAACAGTCTGATTAAGAACTGGTGGCATTTTCACTTGATTACCCCCAGGACGCCAGACAAAAAGTAATATATTTTAAAAAACTGCAAATAGGCATTTTGAGTGGGTAAAGATACCTATGTCTGTTATCCCAAACAACTGATACTCTTTTCTTGAGATTTGGATCTGCCCCTTCCCCATCCAAGGGAGAAATGAGAAGATAAGTAAATGCTAGGTATTGATAGACTCAGTCTTCTCAAACAACATTTAAATCTCTTCAGTCTGGTTCCATGTACAATGATAAGGGACCTCACATAGTTATGCAGCGTCTCATTCCTTTTCTTTCTGCTGTGAAACACAACCCCATTTCATGCACTGAGTTTCTTGCATCCTCAACGCACTACAAGCTCTCAGAGGGCATCTTGCCCCTCTCAAGTTCCTCTCAATTATCTGTTACGACTGAGGTAAACCGCAAGGGCTATATGGATTTTCTGCCAAAACAGGGAACTAGCAGGTTCATTTCCAAATTTTGAAGTATCATCAAAATTTGGAACCTTCCTCTTTGCATTTGTAGCAGTCATTTAACTGTCTTTGTCTCAAACACAGGTCAATTGACAATAAAGACTCTATGAACCATATTTTCCATGCTAATACTCAGTTAACACAATAAAATGTTGACAAATACAGCTATTCAATATTCATATAACCAGTATCCCAGGCTATTTTATTTGAAGTCCAGGACAAGACAAAGCAGGTACAGTATAACCTGGAACTTTCCTAGACTCTCCATTACCTTCTCTCACTTTGTAATCTGAAGAAAATGTGGTTGATTGTACCACCTCTGCAAAGAGCCTTCAGTAGAACTGTACTACCGAGCTATGACTTCCAAGTCTAAAAGGAACAGCAGAAACATTCAGCAGTAGGAAAGGTGCACTACTGAGTCCTTTTTCTAACAATTAGTTAAAACTCAGTTATAATTCAGAAGATTAGATTTTAAAGGAATATTTTCCTATCAGCAGCAATGCCAGAAAACATTTTAAGCACGGCAGTAGAGCATGTTTAAAATGGTGTCCTCTACGAGGACAGAAACTGTCCTGAGCAAAAGCTCAGAAGAAACCCAAATCCTTTAACAGATACCATCTCTGTTGTTCCCAAAACAGATTAATAAATGAAGGAAAAGAATACATATGAACTTACTGCCTGGTTATAATTTATAAATTATTTTATTGTTTTAAAAGAATTTTTCCCCATTGGATATAAGAGTAGTCTCAAAACTTTGACATTTTTCACTCACTTGAAAGAAAATATCCTTTACCTTGCATTGTTGTCCAAAGAGAGATATTCCCTGGGATCATCAGCACTAGCATTAGTTGTTTTAACACCCTTATCAATGAACAAACCAGCCTGAAATAAGCAAGAAAAGAAAATTCATAATACCCAAAATTTAGGATAGAACAGAACTGAAACTTTAAAAATTTAGGCATTGCATTCTATACACATATTAGAAACTCTTAGATCTTTCCATTTGGCTTAAATTGGCATATTGTCTAATGAAAAACAAGCTAATTAATATAATAAACCAGTCAATGCTAAAATGATATGTGAAGAAATCCTTTGTGTTTCACTTTAAAACTAAACTACCTTTACCATAAAAGATATGCTGTAACAAGCTTGAATAATCCAGTATGAAGAAAATTACTTGAGAAAATAAAAGTGTGAGGAAGCATTTGTGCTCTTTCACTTGAATTATTTACAAATACCTGTGACTGACTACTTTCACCTCTGATCCAAATCAGGATTACAACTGAGTGTTATACACAAACACATTCTCAGACCTGCTAGTGGAGCTCTCCTTCAACATGGAACTTGAGCACACAAATTGCTACCCTTTTTTAAAGATGATAATAGCTGTACAGGTGAAAATCTTTTCTTCACAATGCACTTTTATATTCAGCATGTTCTAATTCCAATCTGAATAAAATGCCCTACATTCCCAAAAACATTATTAACACAACTTATATCAAACACCGCATTTCTTAGTATCCCAGACAACTGTAAGGCAAAATCAGTTTCACTTGGCAAAAAAAAAAAAAAATTCAATAATGATTTTATGAGGTTTCAATTGTTAAACTACAAGAATCTCATGCAGCAAACAAACACAATTAATTATTTAGAGTTAGGTGGCTTTGTAAATGTCATTATATTTATACACACACAGAAACTAGATTCCAAATCAAATACTTTAAGGATTTCAGCTGAAGTGAAACTTTAGCTAGATGTGTAAATGGTTTAAAAGTCATACTAACTGAACACTCCTCAATGACTGGAGGCTGAGAACTTCATAAGAAAACTGTTGCAAATAAGTGAGCTCCTGAAGGCAATATTAAACCCTAATCTCTAGCCAAGATTGCGTCACCATGTGCAAGCACCTTAGACTCAGAAAAATAAACTGTAGCAACTCCAGCAAGCTATTAGATGAATCACTGCTATAATAAACTTGATTCTTTGAGGGTCAGCTTTCTTCCGAGTAGGAAACAAAGCTGTAAACAGTAGCATCTGAAATGCTACTTCTGAAAAAAGTACTTTATTAGAAAGATTAATTTATTTTAGTTGTTTGTATCTTATTAGGCTCTGAAGTACTGAATATCCAAAATGCAACTAAAAATTATACCCATGGTGATTATACATTGATTTTGTGCTGTGTTTGAACTCCACTGTAGAACAATCTCCTACCCAGCTTAAAATGCAAACAGACAGGTTGTAATATAGAATACTGAGAGATAAAAACTTCACCTGTTTTTAAATAACATACTACATTACCTTAAAATTAGAATGAACCCTGTTGTTATAGAAGATTCCTAGGGGTGTAAGCTCTGATTTGGTTTCGATGGCTAGACTATGAGAATCTCCTGTAGCAACCCTGTGGAACAAATACCATATTCCTGCATCCTGCAAGTAATGAGAGAATAATTTTACTTATAAGTGATTCTGATACTATTACTGGTGCTGATATGTATTTTAAAATAAAGACTCCAAACAAAAATTTAACCAGTGAAAATGTGAGATTTTGCAAATAAGGCTACATTCTTGTGGACAGTATCAACTAAAAAGTGTTTTGCTTCTTAGTGAACCATTCAACACCACATTTTTAAGATGTTTTAATATTTCAAAGTAGAAAAGTGTTCAAATTAATGTAACTTCTGCATTTCAGTTATGCCATCCCACACACTAGATTTTCCTTTACTAGTAGATATTACTACTCACAGTAAGATACTCAAAATCATTTCTCCTATCTTTACTCTTTCAGTCTGTTAAGGTTGGTTCATCTCTGCTCCCATCAAAATTTAAATGGCACAGCCAAAAAACACCTCAAGAGCTTTCAGTAGACAGAAAAAAAAAGCACATCAAGAAATCTGGCCAGTTCGGGGCACTGTGCCAATGACATGCAGTAATAATTTTAGTATCTGTTCCTTTTCTCTACTTGTTTAATATCTCTGCTCTTACATAAACTGTATTTATTTGCTAAATGAAACCCACAAAACTTCCCTCTCAACTACATCTGCGATTGCAAGAGGTGGCATCAGGACAACATCTGCACTGGAGACATCTACTGACATCAAAACTTTGGCCTGACCATAGGCCGTGTGCCCCCCAAAAAAAAGAAGAATCACCCCACAAGGCACATTAAAGAATTAAATGGTAGCTAAAGAGACTTTGGGTGCTCCATCTCATGAAAAACAGTCATCAACCTTTTCAAGAATCATGGATAAAGACAATCCACCCCGGCTTAAAAGATTTCATGCATTTCACTCCAAGAATATAATAATTTTCCAATGAGTGCTGGAAATTCTACTTTACAGAAATGTTCCCATCCCAGTGTGTAATGATGACACACTGACATTTGTGGTGATTAACCATTACAAAGCAAATATGGATGTTCCATTAATAAAAATACCAAAATCTTACCTCATATATAATTAAGTACAGCTCCGTGTTTGGCAGGCTCAAATTTTACCCAAAACACCCCCTGATGCTTGAAAATAGATAAACTTAAAAGCTTGTTAAGCCTCTGCAGGCATTCAGAAATACAAAAAAGGTTGGGTTTTTTTCCTCTTCTCTCTCATACACACCAAAACATCTACTGCCTGTAGAGCCTTTCAATAGGTTTCACTGCATAATTAAAGATCTTGGGGAGGAATGGAACTATTTGGCTATGAATTGCTCTAGTTTATACCAGAAAAAGTTCCATATTGCAGAGTCTGTATGAACACAGTTGAATTATTCTATTTCTGAAACAATAAGCTGTGGTCCCTTTATACTAATGTGTTTACATCCATGTAAGGGATGTACATCAGAGTGGTTGAACTTTGTAAGACACAAATGCGTGCTCCAGTCAGGCACATCTTTGCTAACTAAAGCAAGGAATATCTACTGGGATGAGCTACACAGGCAGAGAACGACTTTACAGGACTTAAGCACCAGATAGAGAAGCAAATAAAAGCTGTTTAACTCAGACTGCAAAGCCTAAACTAGGTATATTACACAAAGCAGGCAAAATAGAAAGACATTGTGTTGGACAAAAAAGAACTGGTTTAATCTGAGAGGTGAGTCCAGATCCCTTCTAGTGATAGACAGTCAAAAAACCAAACAGAAGCAAACCCACCACAATAAAAGCAACAAGAATTAGACCACACAAAAAACTGAACAAAATTTTCTGACTTTTTATTACTCCAGATATTTAAATTCAGCTAAGTATTTTGAATCCTATTCTATTTACTAATAACAGTTACCTGCTAATAAATAAATCATTTACTTATATAAATGTTATCATTTATAGATAAATGTTATCTGTGGCCAAAAACACACAGGCTCATATTCTTCCAACACCAGAGCCTTTGCAACAACAACCAACAGCCTTTCCCGTTTTCCATTCCCATTGATCGCTTCAGAAAAATCCAGTTAAAAACCTTACATTTCTCAGCCTCTCATACAATATAGAACAGGCTCCAGCACCCTCCTCCACAGCATGTACAGTTCTTTATATCACGGGCAGCTATGAGAAGATTATTTGCACTAATATAAGGTTCAGAACAAGCAAAAGCCTATCAGCAGTCACTGGCTGAAAACAATTGCCTAACCACAGACAGAAAAGAAGCATTTTAGCTGCTTCTTACACAATGAACACCTTTTTGTAGCAATTTTTCCTTTCAGTCAATACAGATCTTGCAGAGCTGTCACTAAACTCATGACAACCTACAGAAAATACAGAAGACTTAATATGAAATGTACCAGTTCTGTGAAAATAAAAGGATTTTTACACAGACACTACTACATTTCTACATTGACACTACTGTCAGGTCTATTAAATACAGAAGACAAGATCTCCTCTGTTGCAGCCACAACAGATTTTTGGTGTCATATAAATGCACACCTAGAAATACCCTGCATTTTCAATGGCAATATGATGCCAAACATAAAAAGATAAAAAGATGCATATATATATATAAATATATGTATATCTGGCAGTGTAAATTTTACAGATTTTACAAATGCCAGTGACATCAGTAGTTTGTCATGAATTACACCCATATGCCTTACCTGTGACCCTGCTGCTGCATTATTTATAAGATGATTGTTGGGGTGAGAAATCCAGAATGTTGAAACGGCCCTGAAATATTATTTAGAAACTAGTTAATAAAGAAGACCTCTATCTCCAACAGAATTATCTTCCCTTTTTAACATTTTCATAAACAAGTAAATCAATGAAGTAACTACTTCACAGTCAAAATACAAATCACAAAACTTCCACATCTAGAAGTCAAAAATACCTTTTTTTTAGTTCAGTGCACAGTATTGTATTTTAATGTTGTACAGTTATCCCATGCAATTATAAACTGTTTTAAGAAGCTTTCACAAGGAACAAGTAGCATTCAGAAAAAATAGTGGTGACAACTTCAGAATATGCATTTATTTACGCAGTACTGAAGATGCTCAACAGACTTCTAAGGTCCTAAGTATCACAAGAAACAACAATGTTCTCATAAAATATTTTTTCTTTAATAGAAGTCTAAGTGTTATTTTTATTGCTGTTTTTAAACAGCAGTACTATATGAACTACATTCATTAAATTATAGATTAAAATGTTTCCACCTGTACTTTGTCAAAAGATCATCATTACTTTAACTGCTGCAGCTGGCTGGGTTTTACTTTTTCATCATGACATACTCACATGCAGTCTGTGGCTGGCACTGGGACATAACTTCCATATACCTTATCCCTAATCCCAATACACATGCTGCTGTTTCTGTCTGTAGGTAGAAGAGTGCCTGGTTTTGTGACTAGCCCAAGGTTGTGGAACAAAGTATTCCTCTGCTCAATGCCATCTTCCATGAAGAAACAGTGACCTAGTGTGTCATAGCCGATGGTGTCCTTTATCTGTAGAAATACAAGTTCATTATGTCAGTAGTAACAGCATTTACTGAGATTTATTTGACAAATACCATCTAGTTTTACTATCTTGGCACAGATGCAGAGTAAAGTGTCAGTATCAGCAGCTCAGATGATTCAAGTACATAGTTTTATTCATCCCTTACACAGTGCTGTCTGGAGAGTTTAGCTGCCTTGCAGCTGTTTTACAGTTAGCTGCTGTAAGAATCTCAAAAAGCCAGAATGATGAGAACAGTTAAATTACTATTTGTAGTAATTTATTTATCCACTGAAATAAGAAAATCATTGCTGAGCATTGAATTTGCATAAGGGATGGGATTATTTTGACATCTAAATGCTCTTTATAATATTTATTCCAACCTAATAGATTTTACTCTCTGTGCACCTACCAGCAAGCCATTAGTTGCATGAACATTCACACATCTAGAAAAACAGTGATGAATGGAAAGACCTTCCAGATAAGTTTTAAAAATATATCCTCCTTTTTCATCCACATCCCCACAAAGGTGAAAGTGAACAGGATAACTTCCAATCTGCTGCTGGCCCATTTGCTTCAATTCCACATAGGAAAGGTGAACAGATGTAAAATTCTTCAAAATCTAAAAAGAAATAAGTCCAGAGGGAAAAACCAATTTGCTTTTTAATCAATGGAAATTTTAAGTTAATACATCATCTACCCCAGATGTACAAAAGATAGATTTATTGTGTTGGCCTGTAGCAACTTCATACAAGTTATAACAAACATTACTGTCTTGCTCTACAAGAAGCCTTATAAAACTGTATCCTTCATATATGATTTCAAATTTTAAATCTCCATGAGGCTACAACAGAGGAATTTTCACCAGATATATTGCCAAATTACTGTTCAGTCTTTACCAGGTGTCAGATTAAATATTCTTCCATGTACTGTCCAACCAAAGAGAAGTCACCCACATCTGGATGTGTCAGTAAAGAAGGTGGCCCAGCATGGTCCATCTGGGACAGCCTTAGCTGAATAAAACCCACAGAATTATGCAGATTCAAGGGAACCTGTTGAGATACCTAGCCCAGTTAAAAGCTTGGTCAGCTTCATAAGACAGTGCTCAGAGAACACCTCCAGTCACAGAGATGCTCATGAAACTCTTTCATTTTCCAGTATGTGAGCATTATTTGCCTTCTTTAAGCCTGGTCCCATTGCCTCTTGTCCTCTTGCTGTGCACCTCCAAGAACTGCTGTAGCCACACTAAACCCTCACCAGTACCTGAAGACAGCAAGAAGATCTTTCCTCTCAACTCCCCATCACTCATCATCACACACTGCCACACCACATTTCCAGGACTCAGACCAGTGCATCTACATTTTCATTGCAATGAGAACCCAAAACTGGACACTGCACTCCAGAGAAATGTCTTTACTAAGGAATATATGAAATAATCCTCACAATCATAAAACTTCACAGTATTGTTCCTATATACAAAGTAAAGTCATAATGGGGTTGTAGCAGTAATGCAGGAAAGTATTTTCTTCCACCTAACCTGCTATGAAAGCATAAACCAAATGCAACAGCTAGCTAAACTGCAAGGAGCTAACCTGAGTTAAAACCAACCAAAAAAAAAACCAGAAACCAAACAAAAACAAACCCTACTTTGTTTTTTGCAACTTCATTTCATTAATTTAGCTGTACTGAGTATTTATCAAAAATATCCATTTTCATAGGGAAATCAGTATGGTTTTTTCCTCCTCCTCTAATTGAACCCTTAGGGTTTGCATACCTAACATATAGAGGGATGGTCAAAACCTGACCTTTTAGGCATCCTTAATCTCTAGTTCTTAACTACAGAGAAGCACCAAAACTACAAACCATTGCCTCTCCTCACTGCTACTAAGCCCCCTTTAGGCCACCAAACTAGTGACCAGTAGGAAATTCAGGGTGTTTAAAAGCTATTACATTTCTTAACATCTAGGATCTCACTGCTTGAGCATATAAGATTAGCATAAGCCAAAAATAATTTCAGTGCTGCAGTCTAGGTTTGGCAGCATACACTCGCTACTCAGTCTCCTGGGAACAATTTAACTTTGATGAGTCAAAATGTTTGTTTTCTTTTCTGCCTTCCAGACAACTGAATGTCTGCTTATTAACACTTCGGTCACACTTAGCAAGATTCGCAGCTTGTCATTATCTTCTTTCATTACATTATCTTGAACCCTTGATATCTGGGGTCCACCTAACTTCTTCCACAAAACAAAAGCTGCCACATAGTAAGAACGGGGCTTATTTTCTTTCCTACTATTATGACCACCACTATGAAATTAAAATCTGTATCCAAATACATTAGAAAGAGATTTAAACTGTGTTGACCACATAATGAACACAAATATATTTGCAATTAAAATTTGAGGCCTCAAGCTTCTCTAGCATCACTGAAGCACTGCTGCTCAAATCTTTAATCTAAAAATGTGATTGAATGCCAGTTTAAATACTAGTTTCTAGAACTCTCCTTTCTCTAAGGTTTTTTTATTCATAATACAAGAAATTTGAAGCAGTTTCCTTTATAGAGTCTTAGTACTTTCAGACTTTTAAGAAACTAAATATAAAACCCCATAGTACAAGTCAGTTTCTTCCCCCTCCATGCCTCTCTAGTGCTCAGGTTCAAATGGGAAAAGTGAATTAGGATTCAATGCTCATCACCTGGGGAGGTACAAAGGCAGTGAAAGGAAGGAAGGGAAATACCAGGGAGGTCAAGTTTTATTCTGTAATGTTATAGGATGCACATGCATGGATGTCACTTGTGCAATCCCTGACATACAATGTTACAGTACCTGCTGGATGTTTCTATAACAGTTTGAGCGTTATATCCCTTCATTTAATTTTGCAGATTTAATCTTGAGGAGTTAAATCTAATCTGGGTAAAGCTGAGAATGAAGTAATTTCCACAAAAAGCAACTGAATGAATTGATGCTCTTTAAGTTTTTAAATCCCTTGAAGTTAAACATTAATCTTTTTGTCCTTAATATGCCTCTTTATGACAGAAAGTTAATTTAAAATGTTTTTCAAACCTTGATATGTCCACCAAATGTATCGTAACTGAAGAACTGACACTCCTTTTCAAGATAGCAGGTATTTTCTGTCTCCCCCTTTATTAGGATGTTTCTTGTAAGAACTCCAACTTCTGCTCTCATGTCCACTCCATCAATTACTTCTCCAACATGAGGAAACTGAGGGTTTTCTGTCCAACAACAAATTCCGAAGGAGGAAAAAAAAAAAAAGAAAAAAAAAAGGCACCACTGATTAAAACCAGAATCATCTTACACAAATAAGAAAGATAACTGCAGCAACAAAACCTATGCATTCCTCTTCCTTAACATGCTGGTCTCTCTTAGCTTTTCTTATGGTAGATGTATTTTTCATTTTAATAAGAAATCAATCCTCAAAAAATATCAACATTTTATTTGCAAGTGCATCTTATAGTTTTGATCCAATAGTTTGTGAACAGAATGGGAAAAAAACAAAAAAGAGTTTATTAATCCAATGTATCAAACTTTTAGTGAAACACAGATGCAGACTTGCTTTAAAAGAAAAGAATATGCTGGCTGCTTAATCTTTCAAAGACAAATTAGGAACTGAAAGTGAAGCCAAAACACTGTTTGAAAATGTTGTATTGATCTCTTCCTACAAGAAAAAAGGACTTGCTTTCCTACCTGAATTTCCTCTTTATGTATCTTCAGAACAGCTACTTAAGAAAAAGGAAAATAGGGAAAAGAAGACAGTCTGGTTTTACACCTGTCTTCAAAAATCAATTTCTCACTGAAAGTAAGAAAATTATCTGGTTCTCTGTAAACCTTAAAAAATGCATTTATGCATTTATTGATACCCTGAACACATATTATCACTATCCCTCCTAAAAAAAACCTACCACAACATGAAGCAGAACTAAGAGTGACACCAACACTATATCTGCTTCTGAGGATTTAAAAAGACAAGAGACACCTCTTAAATGGGACTGCGCTCCTCTCCCTAAAGGCTTGCCTATTTTTTTTCCCTATATTTGACTAGAAACTCAAGAAATCAAGTGCAGAAAGAACAACCAGGGCTCCTACAATTTTTGTTTCCCTAATACAGAAAGGTAGAACCAGCAAAAAAACCTAGTAAAACAACACAAGAAATAATTTCAAAGGATTATGCGTTCATCAGCATGTCAAGTTTACCATTACAGAGAAAATTCATTCTTTGCGGAACAAATATGTAGAGTGGAATGTGGATTTTTTAGAACTGTACACATTACTATGACAAAGAAAACTACATTGAGGGTGGCAAAGAACCCCAAGTGGGAAAGTTGACTTTAAGTTCAACTCCTTTAATATCCTTTTAGTTAGGATTTACTTTCAAAAAAAAAAAAAAAGCCAAGGTTTTGTGTTTTACACTGCAACTTGTGAAAATGTGATTTTTTTAACCTTTAAAAGCAGCTGTTTTTTCACAGCACACGATTTCCAAGATGAGATAGAGTCCACACACACACTATTCAGTAGTGACAAGAAGCTTCTTAAACTTCATACTGCAACCTTACAGCTAAGTTTGCTCTTTAAAACACTGTGCCAATAAAACACACCACATGACACTTAAGAACAAAGCCCAGGAAATATCATATTCAATAGCACTAAGTTAGTTCTGCAGCTTCACTCAAACTGGTATTCTCTGATGGTGCAATCACATAAACGCGGATATGCTTTCCTCACACTTGAGATTTCTCAGTGTAGTACAACATACACGACCTGTGCTAACAAATGTGAGAGAAGGAAATTTCTCTGCCAGCTGGACAGCCAGATTGGCAGTCCCTTAAGGCAGAGGTGTACAGGGAAATCTGAGGGTGTTGACAGAGAACTTCCCAGTATGATGAAGAGCACTTTGAAGAAGAGGAAGTTGCACTGTGAAGAAATTAATGGGACAAAACCAGACTGAAAAGAGCACTCATGAGCTGCTGCAAACTAACACTGCAGAACAACACTTGTTAGTTTGTGCTAAGGACTGATGCTGCAGCCCACCAGGAGCGAGAAGGGAAGCTCCAGACCAGAAGCTGGAGACACCAGTGGGGAGGGTAGTACCATGGAGCAGGTGTGGAGCAGCAGAAGGAAAACACAGACGCCAGCATAGCTGCCAAGCCAGTCCCATGGGAGGCTCTTGTGATGTCAAGCAGAATGACTCAGATAATAAAAAGGAAATGGTCAACAACATGCATGACCATTTACTTGTGCATCACACCCAAAGGAAAAACAGATTGCAGCTACTCAGGGATATCCTGTGAGAGCAGAATCTTGGAAGGGCCACTTATTTTATAACCATTTTGTTGGGGAGATAGTAAAAACGAGACTGAGGGAAAGGAGAAAAAAAAAAGGTACAGGTTCAAAGATTGCAATTTTCTTTTTTCCTTCCTGTTTTCATTTCTACTTTTTTAGTAACAACAGAAAAAAATTATAATGATACCAGTTCAAAAGATGAGAATGACACTAAAGGCAAGAGAAACAAGAAATGACCACAACAGCTATTCAAGCATGTGAAAAGACAGAAAGGAGCCAAGGAAGGAAAACAAGTCTAACCCTACTGGAAAAAAAAAAAGATATTCAATAAGCCTGGGAAGAAATGTGAAAGAAAAGTTAGCATGGTGAGCTGTGAGGCAGACCTGACATACAGAGTCATTTTATAACAAGGAGAATTACACATCCGTGTATGTGGTAACAAAGCCATACAGTGATTCGAGAAAAGGCTGCTCTTTACGGCTGACACTGCAAGAGCCTGTCCAGCAGCAAACACATACTTCACACAGACCTTCAGGTGGTGACTGCTCTCATACCTTTGACTTTAACCTGATGCTTGGTGCACTCCGTGCAGGGAAGGAGGGTGAATTCCTCTGTCTGATACATAGAATAGTCTGTGCTCGCAACCACAATCCTGTCTCCAGGCTCCCAACTACTAACATCATCCACAAGGTTCAGTATTACTCCACCCACCGCTTCCACCTGGAAGCCTGATATTGGGACACCTAGTAAAAAATAAAAGAAAAGGAAACAAAGATTATACTCACCTTTATATTAAACAATTCCCAAGAAGATACTAACAAAATATATAAGAGATTTTGCAGGCCCCAAAGCCCTCTAAAGTACTGCTCCCCCCTCAAACATGCCAGTGTGAGATGTCTTTACAGCCTGCTTACTTATTAGATCTCAAACAAAACAAAGGGAAAACACAGAAACTAATGGTGACTGGAATAAACTATGATTTTTTTTTTCTTCAAAAAACCCTAGTATCTTATGGCAATAATTTGTAGGTCCAGCTACCTCTGCTTGTTTCAAGTGACATTTTTTTGCCGTTTTAAACTGTACAGATTTAATCAAGGACATGGAAAACAAAGTACAGGACTTTCTTTTTTAAGTACAACTAATAGAACAGTTTGGCAGACTAAGTAGCACACACATAGAATTTCACTGGCTCATGATGAATTTGCATAAGTTCAGCCACTTTTGCTAACTCTTGAATCTAACTCTACAGCACCAGTAAGTAAAAGACGTATTTTGGTAGATTTTTTTTTTAAATGTAAGTCTTTACATTTTCATGGGGCTATCAAGAACACTAAAGGAGTAGTACCAAATAGCTCAACTGCCGAGCAAATAAATTTATAACTACCATAAAAATTTTTTGAGGAAAACAGACAGGGATTATTACCCATAAAAACTCAGATCTAAGATATTTTATATTTAAAAAAAAAAAACGGATAAAAGCAAGCAAGTGGTAAGTCTTCTAGCTTTTTATACCACAGATTCAACTTTGTACCTGAACAACTGCCTAAAGTTCAGCACTCTAAGAGCAACCAAAAATCGTAACAAGAATAAAGACTTTCTTTTGGCTTCTAAAGTTTGGGTTGTGTTTTCCTTTTTTTTTTTTTGTACCATAATCAACATCTCAGAAGCTTAAAATCTACATGATCTGCCAGATTATGAAAATAAATTTTAAAAGTGTCAAAACTTATTAGACTCCTATCTTCATCTAAATATACTTGAATTTAAGACTCGATATTATGCTGCTCACATATTGTATACAAACAGAGTGAGAAACAGGTAGTACTGAAGAACTGTATCCTCCTATTTCATCCATAGCAAGAAAAAACTACTTATAGGAGCATTCAAAAATTTAAATTACAACCAGAAGTTTCAGTGAAAAAACACCATATGAAGTATTTTTTCTTTTTCCCTCAAATGTAGAATTTCACAAAACACTTTCCTACCATCATTCCATTCGCTGTAAGCTCTCACAACGAACTTCTGACCATCCGCTGTGAAAAACTCTCTCTGAGCAAGAGCTTTCCCACCAGTGCTGTGGTTTTCATAGTTTCTCACTGATTCATTACAGGAAGAATTTCCACCACCTATGACACCAACTAAAGCCCAGGCTTGCCTGTGAAAATCAAAAGTAAATGTTTAAATATAATGGCCCTTTAAAAATTCTTTACAAAACCAGGAAAGGCAAGGAGTATAGAAGTCATAAAAAAAACCCTTTTGCTCGCTCTTCCAAATTAATTTTAAAATGTAACTTCAAAATGTAGAAGGAAATGGCCAGACATAACAGCAGTGAAAAAAAAAAAAACTTAAAATAACTGGGAGTCCTACACACAAATTGGCAGACAAGAGCTCTTACTGGAGAGGGCTTTCATATACATTTCTTGTAAAACATTCAACAAGATATACATTTTTCCAAAAGCAAATTGCTAGAGATGTGTGACAAAAGTCTCACAGGATCCTACTCCCAAACAACTTTAGCAGAGCCCAGGAGGAGCAGGAGTCTGTGCCAATGTTCCTGCCATCTGCCAGCAACACCCCAAAGGAGCAGTCAGGACTCCAGGGGATCACAGGTTCCTCAGGCCAGAAGGGATGGACACAGCCTGCACCACCACGGCCACTGGTGCTCACCCCCATGCCGGACAGGCAACAGCTTTTGAATCTTTCAGGGTGCTCAGACCCAGAAAAGGAAGTGACTGCTGTTACACAACTTTCATACAATATACCACTCATGTGTGAGTGTTTGGAAATTGAAAGCAAAGCATGCACCACAGATAGCTGCCACCAAGTTCAAAAAAACAAGTTTATTTTGCTGTCCTTTACTGCTCTGTAATGCCATAACCATGTGTGGAAAGGAAGCAGTAGAGATCATCTATAAAAAAGCCAGACAATTTTGCATCATTAAAGTTGAATCATTCACCCCAAGTGAAAACAGTGTCAGCTAGCTGGACTGCAGTCTGTTGCTAATGATTAATTAAAAGGCAATATTAAACCCACCTTCAATCCAGTTGCCTTTATTTTAACCCTTCTTGATGTTTTTGTTGATTGGAATCAAAAAGCCAAACAATACTTTAGCATTAACATGCTCACAGAAATACATATACATACATGTTTACAGAAGTACATACTGGGCCAGCTTTTTAGTAGCCACAGCAAACAAGCCGAACATTTCACACACCGACATTTAAAATAAAGTTTTTTTGATGCATGCTTTGCATTCTACGTGTTGCAGGAAGAAGTAGACAGGGAGAGGGCTGTAAAGGAGTATTCACCTCCATGCTGGTATCTTTTTCACTACCATTAGAGGTTTAAGAAAATGACCTGCTTTTCCTGAACAACCCATCGGGGACAGCTTCTTGCCTATCGTCCACTGCAGAACAAAACAGTTTTATGTGCTTACAGAGCTTTTACCAACTAAGGAAAGCAGACAAGGATCAGTTCAGCAGGAAGGCAAAAAAGGCTGCTTTTTCCCAATTACATGATGCAGTTCCTCATTTCAGACAAACTGTGTGGAGGTCATGGGCAGAGACAAATCCCAGAAACATACACCTCTCAGGACACGCTGGGCTGGCTGCACCACAGCCTGAGCAATGTGAAGCCACACAGGCTTTGCTGCTTTCAGGAACTGGTATTCTACTATAGAACATCCAGGTCCTGGCACTTTTGGCCAAACTGCTTCAGAGGCAAGAGCATTCCATTCCACACCCCTGCGCTTACACAGCCAGTGACACAAATGTAATCCTGACGGGAACTGAGGTCAGAACATGCCATCCTGACTGACACGCCTCTGCCAAAGCACAGGGAGGAAACTAACTGGAATCCAGATGTCAGGGGATAGCAAGGGATAAGAATAGAACGGAAAAACCAAATGACCAATTTCCTGGAAAACACTGGACAATGAGAGGTTATACAACACCATCCCAATAGAAAAACAACACACTGGGTATACTTTGCACTTGTATTGTTAACTCAGAATCACAGATTCATTAGACTGGAAAATACCTCTAAGATCATCAGGTCTAGCCTTTGACTGATGGCCACCTTATCAACTAGACCATGGTACCAAGTACCACATCCAGTCATTTCCTGAACATTTCCAGGGATGATGACTCCACCATCTCCCTGGACAGTCTGTTCCAATGCTTAATAACCCCTTCACTTAAGAAATTCCTCCTATGTTAAACTGTAAAACTCTCCTGATGTAGGTTGAGGTTACATCCTCTTGTTCTGTCACTGGTTGCCTAGAAGATGCTGACTCCCACCAGGCTTGTAGAGAGCAATAAGGTCCCTCTGAACCTCCTTCAGTTCAGGCTAAACATTCTCAGCTCCCTCAGCAGCCCTTCATATGACTTACTAAACTCTAGACTCTTCCCCAGCTCCATTGCCCTTCTCTGGACACACTCCAGCACATCAGTCTTTATTGTAGTAAGGGGCCTAGAACTGGACACAGGACTCAAGGAGTGGCTTCACCAGTGCCCAGAACAGCACTGCCATGGCCCTGCTGGCCACACTATTGCTGATACTAGCCAGGACCTTCCTGGCCATGAGGGCACATTGCTTTGTGCTGCCCAGAGCAGAGTGGACAACCCTCTGTGGCACAAAGCCAAATTCAGAACATGCACTGCAAAAAGCCATTTGTAACAACAAAATGAAGAGCAATGAGGAGCAGTGTAAGTTTCTTGCTTTAATAACTCCTGTTATACTTTTTCTACTGTCTCACCATCCAAATCCCGGCCAATTGAAAGGAATGGTCAAAAGACATAGAAACACCTTGTAACTGCAAATCATAAAATAATTTGACAGGTCAGCTCCTGTGAGAAAGGTAACATACTTTTATTTCAACAGTGCAGGAGTATGAATAAGATGTTGACACCTGGGATTAGTATTCCTTAGAAATAACAGTTTGGGTTGGAAGGAACCTTAGAGATCCTTTAGTTGCACTCATTGGTCTTCCAATGTCATACAATTAAAAGCTTCACCTAGCAACTGTTACCTATCTATGTCTTAGTTTAATTTCTATAAAGAACAGTGAAAGCAAGTAATTTTAAGTAAAAAAGTATGTCACACAGACACCAGTCTCTGCACTGTACTGCTAACTGAATGCTATTACTGCAGCTCTATGTACAACACCAAGAACTCTCTGAAAACTTTATGAACTAGCAAAGTTTAACAAATCCCCCACATCAGAATCTGCATGTCACCTTTAATCAACACAAAGGGGAAAATAAATTACTTACCTGTAACTTAATCCTCTGACAAACCTACTTCCCAGAAGATTCTGAATAGTCACTCTGGTTTCCTCCAGAAGATTTTTAGCAGCTGAATCTCCTACAGCAATAGCAATAATGCGACCAGGATGCCCATTTTTCAGCAAGTTCTGGAGCTTTAAGCTTTCCTCTGCAAATTCATGAGTATCAAACTTCAGCACTTCCAAAACCTCCGCTGTATCCTGATCGATCACTCTAACATTTAGTCCTCGGGAAAAATTCTTTTTAAATGTATAATGACCATAGGCCAGCCCTGAGAAATATATAGTCTTTGAAAGAAGAGTCCATGATACCTTCTGGTGCCCGTGCAACTCCAGCGTTCCTTCAGGGCCCACGCCAATAAATTTTTTGCCAAATTCCGGCACATCAGCACCTTCGTTTGACTTCCCATACAAAATAATAGTTGCTTTGGATTTATAGCGGCATTTCTCTGCTCCAACATGAAGCATTCCACCATCCTTTATCAGGATAAATCGAGTTCTCAAGGTAATATTTTTAGAACCTTCTTTATCATCACCAAAAACAAGTAAACCTAAAGGAAAAAAAATATTTCTGTACATCAAAGCAAAATTCAGAGAGACTCAAATAACCACATTTTGCAGAAAGAACAACAGAAAAATTACAGATTTATTTTCACACCCATGAATTAAGCTGTTATACTCTTACATTTATTTAAGAGTATGTGACAAAGTAACTGCTACCAATTATGATTCATCTTTCTAAGCATTTGCTGGTTTATTCCTAATCTTTTCTGTCTGTTTGGTAGGAATACTTATATACAGCAGTTACCATTGGAGGACAACCAGATTGAGTACCGCACAGGCTACTAAACAACCTTGGTTTCCTATATGGCACAGACAACTACATCAATGCTACCCTGAAAAGATACTAGAGTATCATCATAGAGAATTCATCTTTTGAATTATATACCCAACCTGGCAGCAGGCCAAAAAGTAAAAAAACCTTGGGAACTGGTCAATAAGCTGGAAGATAAAAGTTTCAACATATTTTTGTGCAATCACAGAAGTAAAAAACACGCAGGACACTGAAGCAAGGTGTTCATCTCGCTATTTCATACCTCCATCTTGTATAACTATAGAGTGTACTGTAGCATCTGAGTTTAGACGAAACAAATCCCCTTTTTTGATAATAACTTGTTTTTCAGGATCTTTTCCAGGGCTCCAGTTTTTAAGGCGAGGATTCTGATCAGGACAATTCTCTGCAATACAATGTGAAAGCATTTTAAAAAACAAACATCATCACATCAATCAAGGCAGCATTAGGATGAACAGAAGTAAGAACGGGTCAGTCACCCACAAAGGACTCCCACATCCTTCTATGGTTTTGACACTGCAGTCATTGCATTTGAATAGCCAAAAAGACACCTGAAAAACAGCCAAAGTATCAGGAGTAGGAAAGCATTCTCTACTGAATTAAACTAGCATTGACCACAGATACTTTGGAACCCCATCTGATTTTTCTCTTATTTGCTAGGTCACCTGTAGTAGATAAGAAGAGATAAGCAGAATGCAGTCAGACAGAGAGCAATCACTGAGCACTGAAAGCCTTAGGCCAGCTAACTAGGCTAATGTGGTTATAGAGCATCTAAATACCCCACCTCCTCAAGGTCTCAACCCTGTCAGAAAGGCTGATCCCTTCTTACTTTTAAGCATTCAAATCATTCTCTCAGTGGAAGTTTGCAGGAGGGACAAGACTCCCTGAAGATATTTAGTATAAAACCTAACTAGCTAGAGCAGTTTCCTGGGACATGAGACATTTGGATCTAACTTAAACATTTGTATCCCTAAGGAAGTCAGCTTAAATATCAGGCTGCAAACAAGAGCAAAGACACACGCAGTCCTTGCTGAAAGCCGTGGCACTACACAGGCTATAAACTGAGCTACAAGGCCAGGGAAGAAGAGACAACAGCAAGAAGTGACAGGCTTGTATGATTTCAGACAAAGCTACAGCAATGTAGTATTTATACCATGCACCTCTTTAACAAATTAAGCATCTGAGTAATGTGGAAGCATAAACACACTACAAAAACTGGAAAGTAGATTCCTTGGATTATCTTTTCAAAATTAAAAATGAAAATTAAAAAATTTAAATATATTTTTCCTGTGCAAAAGACAATAAAAAAGTTGCCAAAATAAAGATGTTAGCAGGCCAACTGAGGTTAACAGCCAAAATAGCCTTTTTACATCCTGTCTTCTGAGGAAATACACCCACACTTCTGAAGTGCTACTTCGGAGGCAAAAAGCTACCAGAAATAGTCCATCCTTGCAATAACTAAAGAAACCAAAACTTATCCACAAGTTTAATACAAGCCAGCCTTAGTTTTGCTAACAGAAATGCTTTTCCTTTGGTATTAACTGTCCGCATTACAAATCCCTCCCAACTCAGGAAAGCCACATAAACCAAGATTTGACTACCAGTGGGGAAAAATTAGCAAACTGCAGAAATGGCAGAAGGCAGACAAGTAGTATTATGAAAATAAAAACAAAATAAAATCTTTTGGGAGGATCTTATGAAGACAGCTTTTAGAAAATGTAATTAAACATGAAGGAAAACTGAAAAGCCAGGAGAGCTGCAATCAGCAAGACTGCTGAGCATTCACCAGATAAAGGCAAGTCTATTGCCTGACTCATGCAGAGTCCCTAATCCCCTTTCCCCAGACAACACACACACAAGCACTGTGAAGAAACACTTATTTCCTGGCTGGTAGCAAAGGGCAGTGTGAGGAAACCATGAGTCAGCAACCTGATGACTTCTGCTTAGTGTGATTCACAGAAGAAAAGATCTAGTGAGCATATATTTTCCTGCTGAATCAGAAAGAAGATGTATAAAACAGTGCCTAAAAAAAAGAAAATATTTTAAAATCTATTGTACATTACAATCCAGCAAGAAAGCTATCAGAATCAGAACCAGGCACTCTTGTAAAGTAAACATGCTTTTGGGGCACAGTGGGTCAACTTTTTGGCAAGTAGATCAGATGTTTAGCAAAAGTATTTTGAAATTCTCCCTTAGCAGTTCTGGTGGGCCACATGAAAATATCGAATATTTAGAACTTCACCATATGTTATCTCCGAAATTATGTAGATTTTACAGATAACAGTTACTGCCTTTAAAGTTAAATAAAAACAGAAGCACAGACCAGAAACTGTTAGGTAGTGATGACCTTGCCAAATTTAGGCCCTCATGCTGAAAATTTTTCAAGTCAAGCCTCTGCTTCAAAACATTTCTGTAAAAATGGGTCAGCATTCCTTCAGGTTTAGTAGCTTCTATTGGAGCTGAGGGGCAAAGTAGAATTTCTGCAAGTAGTGAAGGAAAAGTACACCATCCCACCCCACAAGAAAGCATCCTGACCCAAAAAAAGGTCCAATGCTAGAACCTTTCATGGAGAGAAATTTGACAGGAGAAAAAGACAAGCAGGGAACAGTTCTCAAGATACAACTAAATAGTTACATTCTACTTGTTTAGACATGATGTCTAGAACTCTTAAGGCCTCTGGGAAAAACTCTGAGTGTTATATTATGCTCAGCAAAAGTTTATAAGACTTTGGCAGCTACATTTTCTGAGGATCCTGTTTCCTCTAGGCAAGGTCCAGCTGAGAGCTGGAAGAGTGAAGAACTTTTCCCTGTCTCCCCAGCTAAACCTTGCATCAGAGGCCTGGGGAAATGGGGAAGGAAATTGCATTTCCATTGATCTCCAGTGTTCAGGGCTCCTTAGATAAGGCAGGAATACAGAGGCATGGCGGAAACAGAACCCAGCTGATAAGCAAGAACAGAAATGCTGACAAGCAGCATCCTCCCTTCGGGGAAAGTACGGTGGAGGTTTAGAATTCACATGCATTTACTACAAAGTGCCACATTCCTTCCACTGCCTTTTAAACAGCCATTAAAGGTTCTGACAATATGGATTTCCAACTAGTCCTGAAGGAAAGCACACCTAAGTGGAACTGGTGTTGATCACTGCAGTACCACACGTGCTTGGGTCGGAGTTATTATGTTTATGCACATTAACATTTCAACCTGCTAGGGAACTTTTGGGGAGTTTCTGTGACATCCATACTGCAAGATTAAAACATTAGCCAGGCTTTCCTTAGTCCCTGTAGGAGTTTCTCTCATGTCAGGGTTTCACAGTATCACAGAATAAAAAGGGCTGGAACGGACCACAGCGGGTCATCTGGCCCAGCCTCCCAGCTTAAGCAGGGTCATTCCACAGCACATTGCATGGAATCGTGTCCAGACAGTTGTGGAGTAGCTCCAGTGATACTCCAGAGCCTCTCTGGGCAATGTGCTCCAGCGCACGGTCACCCACACAGTAAAATTCTTCCTCATATTAAGGTGGAGCTTCTTATTAACTCTTGTCTTACTGCACAACAGCACCGAGAAGAGCCTGGCTGCACTCCAAAGTACATCACAGTGTTAACTGGTAAGTCACTCTCCAGTCTCCTCTGGAATCTGTCTGCAAGGAAAGTACTTACTGCATATGTACCCATTACCAGCAGTATGTATCATAACAGAGGAATGATCCTCCACTTAGTAGTCCCTAAGGTTTTGTTATTTTCCTTCATAATTTATTAGGAAAGTTCAGCAACTTCACCCAAGGAGGTAACTCAGCAAGCCACCACAAAGAGCATTTCAGTTGGATATGTGCATTTATTTTGTACTGTCATCTGAAACCTTCAGTTGGTTATCTGATTTGTTCAGCCTGTGTTGCACTGACTTTGGAAACAGCATCTTTTTGATTACTATGTCAAAAGCCACTGTGAAGTCTGTTATTACAGTAGCCAACAGTTTCAATTAAAAATCTCGTTTAGCTTCTAGAAAGCTTCTGACTTCCAAACAAAGTCACCAAAACAACCCACACTCTAAACTGTACTACCAATATTTAGCAACTACACCTCATACCATCTGCTAGGAGTAACTGACTAGAGGGATGTACACTTTGTGGTCACATGACCTGTTGATGCCTTAAAACCACTGACACATTTCAGAGATTCTCCAAATTCCAAAAGAGTTGCCCAGTTTTCTAAGATGAGCTGAAAACAAAAAATCAGGGCTAATATATGAAAAAAGCTCCCTGCCCAATTTGCATACAAACAAAACAAACACATACTATTAGCACAGGTTCTCAAAGATTTTTAAATTATTTGACTTTAACACTTTTTTACTATCTTCCTTAGTAACTACTGAAACAGACAGGATTCAGTTTTGTCTACAATTCATGAACAAATGAGACAGCTTCCGCAGATCAAAATAACTATGCTTATAAAACATTCATGCCTCTTTCTCCCCTCACACATAATCTTTATTTACTGCTATGCCTTTCTGTTTCATGTAAGTAAATTAAACCATATGTAATAAAAACAACACTGATAAAAAAAAAGGAGCTGATCTTTGCCCCCAATCTCCACCTCCTCTGATCTTAAAATCACAGTGAGTGTCCTATTATCTTTCAACAATAATCCTGACGCGAAATTATTGGGTTATGTTCACAAGTAGCATAACTTGTAGGACGATTTTCTTAATGAACTTACCATCTGGAGCATACTTTGAAGCTATTCCCAAAAAAATCCCCAGTGCAACAAAAAGTGAAAGGCTAGAAACGGCAGAACAAATAAGAGTATTTTTGTGTCTGTTGGCTTCTGCCTGTCGGTGGTGCTGCTCCACTGGCAAGGACGGGAGTCTTGTCTGGGCTTCCTGTCTCGCCGAGGTAAATTCTGCTGCAGCATGGCTCTGCGAAGGCGGCGGGGGACGGAGAGGGGCAATTCTCCCCGGGACGTACCCCGAAGACCTGTGACTGCTCCCGTTCTGAGGACGGAGGAATGCAGGGGAGCTCCCCCTGGTATCAGTGCCTTGCATGTTATAAAGTCACTGGAACACACACAGAGAGGGGAAAAAATAAAGAGACAGGCTTTCAGAATACAGACCAAAATGCAGGGAATAAAAAAAAAAACAACAGCAAAAGGCAAATTTAAGCCACCTGTGTCAAGAACAGCCACTGAAGCTGTGAATATTTACCAAGTATCTGTTACTCAGTCACTACTGGTCAGTTGCCATGGTATAAGCGCATGGAACAACATATGTGTCTTCAACACAAATTCAAAAGCATGTGGTGTGGGAACCCAGTACAACACAGACCATTTCTTCATAGTTCCAGTGGGTATTTTTCACTGAGTATTTTCACAGTTAACTTGTATTATGAGATTAAGAAATCAGATGAACAATGAGAAAGCTAGCAACACCTGCTTCCCCACAGTTATGCAAAGAATGTTAAAATGTATTTTTTCTGTACACAGAAGCTGAACAAACTCCTCACTTTCCCTTACGGAAAAGAAGCTTAAAAAGATAAGCCTGCTGTCTACACTGGAAGCTCTAAAAGCTGTTTATATTAAAATACCAAATACTTTTTTTATTTCTAGTCATGCTGATGCAACTTAGCCAACATTTTTAATAAGCTGAGGTGCATAGAGCCAGAAAACTCTTGATTTACTCACAGCAAGATTCAATTGACAGTAAAGGTACATCAGGAATTGTTCTATAAGTCACCTACATCTTATTCAGGAAACCTTGTGATTTTTTTCTGCTGACATACCCGGACACAAAGCCTGCTCCAGATCACTGTACCTATTGCCCAGAAGTGAGTGCTGCTTTTATTTCAGTTACTAGTATTGTCCATCTTTCTTCTGAAGCATACCAAGAAGAAAGCATACCAGTGCCATCCCTGCCTAGCCCACCCTCAGCAGTAGCTCTAAGTCACCACTCTAGTTTAAGAGACAAACCTGCATTTGATTGTTTTCTCTGGTTTTCCAGTCAACAGTGTTGCACAGAGTATTCACAAAGCTGGCATAATTTTTTTATATCTTCATTATGATTAACACTTCTTATAGATGAAATTTTTGAGAAGGATGTTCAAGTTTCAGTTAATTGAAACCTAACTTTTGAAACTAAATCCTGAAGGGGATTTAGGCATAGGTCATGTGCATTAAACAACAAAATGTAGGAAAAATAAAAACTACTAATTATGGAAGAGTATAAAGATCCTCTTTCTGTTCCATTAACAAAGGGAAGTCTGAGCCATACTCTGAAGTGTCAGGCACGCTGATGAAGGAGAAATGTGACAACTGTAATCTTATGCTGAGACGCAGCAAAGGAGCCTTTTGTTCCACAGGCTGCAAAATCTGATAGTTCACTGTTTCCAGGAAAAAGAGCTGTTACTATAGAACAGGCTAGATTACCCTTTCATGGGAGACAATGCATCTCCAGATGTATGCACAATGACAATGAAGGCACAGAAACATTAACTGGAGTAGCTATCCCAGAGTGCAAAAATTATTCCAAGTCCTCCAGAAGTGCTTCTTGCACCTGTTCATTATAACAAATTAATTTTCAGCATTCTCCTTTCTGTTCTTTGACAAACCAAATCTTCTGCTCTCACACTGAACTGCCCAACCAGTCATGTGCACTGTGGAACAGTTTGCTTTACCCTAATATGCTTTTACTCAATTTATCACCTCTCAGAAATGAAAGTAATCTCTATGTTTTAGATGTGGTATTAAAAGCTGGGTAGAGATGGAGCTTTTCTGCTAGTTCAAAGACAGTATTTATATCTAGATAAAGAAATGCTGGATTAGCTTCTTAATTAAGCATTTTAAGAAATCTGATCCAGCATTGAAATTTTCTTTTTTTTTTTACGGTTTGAAACCCCAACTCTTAAACTTGGCTAATTTTTCAGTTAGGACATTTTTCTGTAACACTGACAAGATTATTACAGTGTTCATTATAGTGTAATATCAACAGTTAAAAAGTTTTTAAACTACTCAGCTATAGCAACCGAATCCAGATTGGCTATGCAAGAATTGAAACAGTTTTACAAAATAATTTTCCCACAATTCTTCCCACCAAGCTCTCCTAAAGTACTGCCAGACCTCTAAAGAAATAATAAAAAAAAATCAAACAAAAAACATTCATTACAGCAGCCATTGGAAACACTCGTGTCGTATTTCAAACATATTTTGTGTTGTACAAAGCATTCTGCTTTGTTAGCAACCCTCATTTTGGCAATTGTAGAAGGTTTTCAACTGTCCCACTCAAGTGAAAACATGGGTCACCCCAAGGATGGGTGGGAAAGAGATGGTAGAATTGCTGTCTTAACCATTACAAATTAAAAATAATTACACTAAGCCAGTAAGGAGATACTCAGTACATTCTAAACTCACCATACAGTTTTCCATTACAACAGGAGTAACCATTGCAATGCTTCCTTCCCTCTTCATGGGGAAGAAGAGTTATTTGAAATTCTCTATCTGAAAAAGGATGTCCTCTATCCTGTAGAGCAGCTACTAGCTTTTTTGAAAGATAGACTGATAATCTGATTCAAAATATTGGCTTGTTTATTTCCACTCTGTGGAATACTTCAGAGAGCACCACATAAAAGCAAGTAGAGTAATTGTCTGTATGGCCAGTTATGCACCAGAGAATAACGCAATTATTTGGCTGCATGAATACAGTTTGTGTGTCACAAATACAGCACAAATTTTACTCTGCAAATGCATTTACAGAGTGAAATGCAGGACAAAATACCCAAACTGCTGAACTATTTAAATACCACATTGAAAATTCCTATGCATCTGAATTTTCCCATGTTTCCCTTTGACCTGTGCCTATGCCACAGTCTTGTAAAGGAACTCATGATCTGGGCATCTCTTCCTGATGGCCAGTCCCAGACAAGAACACCTCTCACTTTTGCAATTGTACTGTGGTACACAGAATGGTGCCACAAATTTTACTTTGCAGCTTGCTTCAGAGTGCTTTCAATAACAGTTAAGTTCTCACACCACATACAACCAATTAGCTAACATTTGTACAGAGCTCTATCTGTACAAATGTGTTATTTGTCATGCCATTTAAAAATGCTGCTTTCTCACTACTCCCAAATTTTTTGCACGTCAGCTTTCAACGAAGTATTATGCAAGATTTTAAATCCATTATTCAACAGAGCTTTTAGTCAGAGCCACACTTAAGCATGTGCATCAAGCCCATCACTAAGAGGGAAGCTTCCTTGCACAGACTCAGCTGAAGGATCTTTGATATTTCATTGCCACCCATCTGCTGGATGACTGCACTATTTGCATATCGCTCTTTTGCAAGAGTAGTGCAACTCCACACAATCCACATTTCTGCTCATGCACCTCTTCCTACAGCATAAGCAAACAATTACTTCTCACACTGCTCACATCAACCAAGCCAGCTTAAATTACCTTAAATTAGAAAAAAAAAAAGGTTTATTTTGCACAGCTTCCAAGTGATTACCTGCAAGTCTGGATATGTCAACAGAGCAACTGAGCAAACAGATGTGGACAGCAAACCCCAGCTTGCAGACAGCAGTGAGCCGCTGAACAGGCTGCAACATCTCCTGTCTCCTCAAGTATTCCTTCACCACTTTTAACTTGTGTCACTACCACACTCTCATACAACCCCACATTGTTCCACACGGTCAGAAACTGGAAACATATGCACTGTGCAGCCAGGGCATAACATATGAACCTCCTGAGACAATTCTGAGCACTCAGAAGCAAGCAGCGTGCTTATCCATTGCTCATTTTGGGGCTGGTTTCCTGGAAAGAAACTGGCTTATTTTACCAGATAATTCAAAACGTCACATGACACCACCCAAAAAGTGGGGGAAAACCCAAGATATTTTACACTTCTGTGTTGTCAAATGCTAAGTGTAATAAAATATGTCAAACATGCTAAAAAACTCCCACACCTGCACCATCTGAAAATGTTGTACAGAATGGTTGCTTACCTCATAATTCATACCTCTCTTTAAGCACATTTTAAGGATCATAGGTCTTAAAAATGAAATAAAAGAAACAAGAAAAAATTACACACTTCTGTTGATCTGGGTCATCAAACTACACCAGCTCTAGTGCTGACCTATTACCACACTGTCTAGTCTCAGAGTATACAATTACCGCTCAGGAAAAGACTGAGCAAAGGGTGGAGGAAAACACATACACAAAAAAATATTTCCCCATGCAACACAGTAGTAACTTTGCAAACATTAAGCTGAGTGCATGTGTCAATCTGTTGGAAGGTAGGAGGGCTCTGTAGAGACACCTGGAATGATTGGATGGGTGGGCAGAGTCCAATAAAATGAAGTTTAATAAGTCCAAGTGCCAGGTCCTACATTTCTGCCACAATTTCTTGCAATGCTACAGTCTGGGGACAGTGTGGCTGGACAGAGGCCAGGCAGAAAGGGGCCTGGGGTACTGGCTGACAGCCGGCTGAACAGGAGCCAGCAGGTGCCCTGGGGGCCAAGAAGGCCCATGGCATCCTGGCCTGTGTCAGGAACAGTGTGGCCAGCAGGAGCAGGGAGGTCATTCTGCCCCAGTGCTCGGCCCTGGTGAGGGCACACCCTGAGTGCTGTGTCCAGTTCTGGCCCCTCGGTTTGGGAAGGACATTGAGACGCTTGAGCGCGTCCAGAGGAGGGAAACGAGGCTGGTGAGGGGCCTGGAACACAAACCCTGTGAGGAATGGCTGAGAGAGCTGGGGGTGTTCAGCCTGGAGAAAAGGAGACTCGCTCTCTATCTAAAGGATATCTCTATCTACTGTAAAGGAGACTCACTCTTATCACTCTCTACACCTTCCTGAAATGTGGCTGCAGTCAGGTGGGGGTTGGTCTCTTTCTCCAGACAGCAACTGACAGAACAAGAGGATACAGTCTTAAGCTGCACCAAGGGAAATATAAGTTGGTTATAAGAAAAAGCTTTTGACAGAAAAAGTGTTAAAATACTGGAATGGTGTGCCCAGGGAGGTGGTGGAGACATCATTGCTGGATGTGTTTAAAACAAGACTGGATGTGGCAGTTGGTGCCATGGCTTAGCTGAGGCGTGTTAGGGCATGTGTTGGACTTAATGGTCTTGAAGGTCTGTTCCAACCTAATGATACTGTACCACAAAAGTTATTACTGCTTTCCTGATAGAGGCACTTGTCTGGTGTAAAACCAAAGGGCAGTGAGAAACCCATGAAAAGGAAAAGGGACATGAAATCAGTATCAAAAAGCTCCTAATTAGAAAGAATCACTGAACAGAATGTGACGTCAGG